GAGCAACCTCGGCCGTAATCATTTCGGTCCCAGCAATGACTGGTTCAGGATCTGCTTGGTTAATCGCCGCAGCATCCACTACCGACAACACTTCGGTAGTTGCCACGTCTGACACAGACTTTGGGTTTTCAGGCATGGCGGCCGAAGTCGCACTCGACCCCACCTCGGTCGACTTCTTCCCAGTATTTTTCTGACCGGCAGTCTTCTTCACTAACGCACGAACTAGATCTCTCCTCATGGCGTCGTTCAATCTCAGATCTCGACTTTTACCAACTTTGGACTGAAGATCTCTATTCGGAAATTTACGCCTAAACTCCTTGGCTTCCTTGACAGAGTTATAGCCCAGAAAACCGAGGAGGGGATAATACACTGCATATCGACAAGGGATAAACAAAGTTTCAAACAGCTGTTCTACGCATATGAAAAATTCGACAAAATCGTTACTGCTTAAAATTATCTTACCGGGGTCAAACTTCGATGTAGTAACTCCAAGAGACAAACCAGCCGCTTCGAGCTTTGAGTCTATTAAAAGCTTACGATAATCCCTGTCTTCTTTATCCAAACGGGCCAAAGTTATCAACTTCCCACCGAATTCCGGACTCAACTTCGGTTCTTTTTGCTTGGTCTCTTTTTCTACACAGAGCAAAAGTTCCGACCTGTTAGTACACAGAACAACACCAAAATCAGGAAAGTATATCCGAATTGAAAAAAAATAAAACAAACTCACTGGCTCCGGAATGAATTAACATGGGGATTGTCATCCCATCAATTCGGTGCTCATGAAAGAAGTCCTCTGACTGCCACTCCCCTCCAATCCATAACTACTCCTCCTGGAAGCCGTGAAGACTTTCCGGAATCTCGGTTACTATTTCACCGACTTTAACGCCGTGTTGCGGTTTCGCCCCGGCAAAGAAGCAACAAGAGGATTCGGCAACCCTCCTCTTTGGACTTTTTTTAAACAGAAAAATACTTCGCATTTCCTCACATGATGGCAACCCCTCACCGTGCTCGTGCAGCAACACCATCAAACCAATTATCTTTTTCCAGCTATTCGGGGTAATCTGACACAACGGTAACCCCCAACTTCGGAGGTACTCCGTAATCAAGTTTGGCAGCGGGAACCTTAATCCCGACCTCAAACTCTCCGCAAAGATGCCCACGCAACCCGGAGGTGGACTTGTTATTCTCTCCCCGGGATAAGGGGCAAAAATTTTCACCGAGGGAGGGATCCGAACCTGCTCTCTCAGCAACACGACATCGGCGTCGGTAAGGATACTTGGTTCACCCACGAAATCAACCTCAGGATCGGGCCACCTCCTTACCGGTCTTCTCCAATGGGGCACCACGAGGTCGGTCGCCTTATGTTCCACGACCAAATCACCGTCCTCATCGTTCAACTTGATATCCAGATGTCTCACAAACGACGGGTCCCACTGGTGATATTCAAAGGCCAATTCAACCAGTTCCGAATCATGGTAAACCTCCAACGGGACCGACTCAGTGCTCGACGAACTCGCCACCGCCTTACCCTTACCCTTCGACGCCATTGCACACACACCAAACAAGAAGACAAAAAACAAATGAACGAAGAATCGAAGAAAGAACTCACCAAAAGATCCGCAAACACACAGTGAACAAGAAACGACTCTCGAACTCAAAAGAATTTCCTCAACAAGATTACTGGATGCAAAAGTCTGTGAATGAAAGCGCAAGTGAAGAAAACTCGATTCAATATCACGAAACCCTATTTATAATTGCTGATTTATGACCGTTGCGGATCTTAATTAGGGGCGCGTCCAACCGACGCGACCCCTAATTCTAACCGGCGTTACCTCTTCATCTGACAAGACGCTTACTATTACACGTGGCAGCCTATTAAAGCCGACCGTTACCTCATTTAAGACCATTACGGCGCGACCGTTCATTCTAACACTAAATCGTTGACCGTTACGACCATTCACATTCCTCCTGTCGCGACCGCCTGCAAATTACTCAAATTTCACCAAGTGTCTTCACCTCGGAACACAGCCTGCACCTCGGAACGAGCAACTCACTTCGGTTACCTCGGTTACCTCGTTAAACCGAAGTACCTCGGTTATATCGGTAAACCGAAGATGACTCTCCTAAGACGATAAGCACCCTGCCGTTTACTTTTTACCGATTCGGAGCTTCAAAATGTTTGGCAACATCGATGACCATCACTCC